ACGCTGTGATGATTTCGATGGAGTTCTCTTCCGCGCCCGTTGTCTCTTAGCCACAACTACTTTGGCAGGTACTTTAGGAACACAAAAAGCATTATAAATAATTCTCTTTGCGCTACAACAGCGGCCAGTATAAAGGCGAATGCAAATTTCATTTTAATCCGACTAAGTATAGCGACCAGTTGACGGGTTTTACACAAACGTCCCGATCGATTTAAAAACACAACCCTTCACACGTTAATTTAGTTATTTTTTCCATAATATCTGTCGAGTGTTGACGTTTCATTTCAATTTTGACGCAGCGTCCGATAAATAAAAAACCATAGGCCAAGTTCCAAAATCATTTCATTACGTCGGGTTTAAATACTGTATTAATAGAGTTTTCCTACAGTGTCGTTCAATTGCATTAATATTAAATAAAATTCCGCGAAAAAATGAAAACGGGGATGGGAAAAATAAAAAACTATCAACTATAAATCAGCGGAATATGTATTTTAGCCCAATAGTATAAATCCTGTCATCCATACAGTATTGATGATTTCATGAATATTTTTAAAACCTTTTTATGTTTCATGTTTCGTAACATACATGATTCATAGTGTCCACCAATGAAACAATTTAAAACCGGAAGTATATCTTCACTTTTCACAATATTTCTTCTCTTTGATTTTATCAACTGTGTTTTTTTTTTTTAGTCTATGTTGAATATTTATTTATGAACTATGAATCGATGCATTTAAAATGTTCCTCACTGATCCAAAACGGATTACTTGAGCTAGTCGGTTTACTAGAATTTTCAAAAGATGTCACCTGGGAAATATGAGCAAGTCGGATTATCGCATCAAATGTCCTAACAAAATTATACTGCTATTGGGACACTTTTAGTATCAATTTGAAAATAATTTGCCCATATAGAGGATAATGTTGTAAATATTGGCGTTACTCAGTTTTAACTTGAACTCTAGATAAAACCTTTCGAACCATAATTGTTTTTTTGTCTTTCATTTATTTGAATATATATCGAGAGAGTTAGGTAAAAATATTCCAAATACTGCAATAACACACTTAAAAAAATTAAAAACTTAAAATTACTTAAATTCGCTAACTACCCTGGAGGAAGTTGGTTTTTGTAAAATTAATACATTTAAGTCAATTACAGTAAAATCCTACGATTTTCGTGTATTTTTATTAAAAATTGTATTTTTATTAGAAAAAAAGTTTAAGTAAAAATAAAAAATAAAATAATTTGAAAAATAATGATAATTATCATTTCGTGAGAAATTAATTAAATCAACGAAACACAAGAAAAATTCAATTTTAATTAAAAGGAATACATATTTTAATAAATATGAATACAATGTGTTTAAATATTTAGTTGTATAAAATATTTTAAATGGACTATAAATAATAAATTATAAATGGAGTATAAAATTCCTCGTCAACATACTCCACCAACTTGCCCCCAGATAAATTATTTAAAACTTTTATATTTTCCTCATAAAAATCATAAGTAAATTTAAAATGTATACAATATATGAAAATAAAGCTTAATACGTGTATTAAAAGCTTTCCAAAACCATATTAAAAAGAATAATTGAGCAGCGATTATTTTCTCTAATGTAAATATATTACAAGTGATATCGAAAAATTGTTAATAAAAGTGAAAAATAATGTAAGTATGAATTATTACCGAAAAACAATAATTCGTTATATTCCTTAAAATTAAAAATGTGCCTTTTAACTTGAATAGTTTTTATATTTTTTAATTTTAGATTAATATTTATAATTTGAAATGATTTTAGCCACAAGTGATCAATTCTTATTAAATTATTGTATTGTCCAATTTTTATTTTATTGCATTACTAAACTATTTAAGTTCCGTCAAATAACTTTGATTTTCCCTACTTAAAATATTATTATTTCAAAATAAAATCGTACGCTGTTTAAACGTAATTGAAAATATTCCGTTGGTCATGAAATATTAACAACACCTTTCAATAATTTATCTTCGCGTCGAATTAAAAAAATATAATATCTAAACATAATATAGCGAACTAACTATTTGCATAGTGTTGTTCTTGCGTAATAAATTTTTCTTTTGGAATTTTGAAAAAAAAACAAAAAATTATAAATTTTTTACGCGAGCCATTTGCTGTTTACATTTGCCGTTTGTAGTTACATAAAAGTAATACATCATAGTAATCATCATGAATGTGTATGTGTAAGAAGAGAGAAGTTCCAATACAAAGTACGTTAACGATAAAGAATGTGCATTAACGTTAATTATGACGAACGAGTATACTTATGTGCTTTTGGAAAGTTTTAGACACATGTGATGATAAGTGAGCATCGGTGAAGTTTTGGATGGCTACGCCTATTTATGGTGTGTGCACTTGTACACGGCAGACGACGGGATGAAGATTAACCCCAACTACAAGGCCACGGGGTTGTGTACCTGCAGACTGTTAAAGCGAATAATACATTAGAGACATTAACTTTTATCACCGGCGTGCCCTGTTGGGGATAAAAGATAGACGTGCATAATTAAAGGCACCGCGATAAGATTACCTCCGGCCAAAAACGACCGGTAAATACTTAATTTCTCCTATAATAACGGTAAAACTACCGATGGACGAGACCATACATACGTCCCTTTTATGGCTTTTATTGTGAGTACGCCACTAATTTCGAATCATGGCAGCCCTTACATCACATGAAACATTTAGAAAGCAAATACACTTGTGCCATATAAGTTGATAAGCTCGGAAACAAATATTTCACCGCAAGACTAAAGTACTGTTAAAGAAATTGATTTGAAATGAATTAACAATAAAAACTTTTTAACAATCCAAAACCGTACTGTTGATTAGACACATCGCGAGTGTTAGAACCAAATGACTCGGACCGCAAATAAATTTCAATACTTCTGAAAAAGTAGTCAATATTACATTAGATGATTATTTTACTTTATGAAAATCGCTACGTACTGACATTGAAATATTTTATTCCTCCGGCGAAAAAACTTAGGCAATATTATTTTATAGTTTATTGCGGCGTTTCTTACCTCTAGCTAATACTTATATGTTTTTCTTTTTTCATTATTCATAAATGTATACGTAAACACAACGTCAGCATCATAAAATATTCGGAACCAAAATATTATGACGTACTCTCTTGAGTAATCACTAGAAAAGCGTTTTGTTCGAGTTTATTACCCACAAAATAATAATATAAAACTTTCTACCTATATACGATATTTTTGACTGGCACGTCGCAGCAGTAATTTAGATATAAACTAAATTACTTACATTTCTAAATTTTTCTACATCAATAAAAACTCCAAAAACACGTACTAATTAGTGTTCAGACGGTAAAATTCTACCAAGTTCAAGTGATGTTCGAGTGAAGATATCCTCATTCTTTATTTAGATTTCTGATTGCTACTTAATCATATCAAAACAATTTACAACAAAAATCAACAATTATACGTAAATTACTGAAATGTAGTCATATCATTTCAAAGATAATTCACAATTACTAGCAAAACAGATAGTAGAAAAATGATTAAAGGGTAATGTTCAAAATGATAGGTTTGACTTTGCCAAAATATTCATAATACGACTAATTAATATCGTTATCGAGTAGGTTGTTTGGAAACTGTCAACGTCAGAACATAGACGACAAGTAAATTATTAAACAGTTATGGAAAATTGAGATATTCATTGTTGTTTATGTACTGTCTCTATTTGCAGGAAAATTATTCATTAACTTACAGGAATAGTTTTATCGATAGTTTCTACGAAGACACAAAGCACTATTGTCTTAGTCTGATGGAATGCCATAAATTTTTTATTTATACTTCTTCGACAGTCACGTCATGAATACGAATATCATTTTACAAGGTACAACTGTTCCAATATAGACTACTATAGTCTTCATAGCCGAAACTAAAACAATGTTTTTAGTAAAATTAAATTTATTCCAACCCCTTTAAGTTTTAAAAGTACTCATATAATTTTCTTTTTGATAACATAAATTTTGTCCTTGTAAGTATAACCAATAAAAAGTTAAGATAAAATATCCAACTTTTTTTAATTAATTGTCATTAAATAAACAATTAAAATTGTCAATTATCAGAAAAAAAATGCTATAAAGACTTTATATTGTAATAATATACTTACTGAACACTCAGTAAAATTTTACTTTATTATACTATTGTATAATTATGGTATATTACCTCACAAACTGGTCCTATAATATTTTTATTAGATAAATCTAATAAAAATTTGAAATAAATTATTTAAGATAAGTTTTTATTAAAATCTGATTATCAAAAAAAGATTCATTTTATAGACTATTATCAGTATTGTTTATTAATTAATTATGCATAGTTTATAATAAAATTTGTTTCACCTGTGTCAATCAAAAAATTCATTTTAATGTTTCTAAAGTGATTTTATAAAATTCTCAGAATAGCAAAATATGAATTTGTATAAGATAGTATATTTTTGCTAAAAGAAGATAGGCCTAGAGCAGCATTTATTTATTTGTATAAATTGTGTATAAACACAAAATTTCCAAATGAGGACATTAACTTAAAATACACTTATAAATCCACTCATTTGTCCTTAATAATTAATAAATTGACTTGGTAAAGCTAATGTTCAAGTAAATACAGTAATATTAAAATTTTTGAACTCATTTAAACAAAATTGAACCAAATTATATAATCGCTGACAATTTCCTTAAAAAAATTTAATTTTTAATTTAAATTATATATATATATATCTTATCCTAAGTTTTAATTTAAAGAAATGAATTCTTGTCATCAAATTTTAAACTTATGATTAACTTTACTTTATTAAGCTAATACTTTTATAGTTATAATTGATATAATTTCTTGTGAAATTATACAATAATTTATTATAAATATTTATATTTACAATATGGTGTAACATAAGATCTAATTCTAAATTGACAGTAAACAACTTTATATTTTCTTATTTTTTTTTAAATTAAATATTATATTTTATTTCTAATAGCATAATTAATTGAAATTTTACAATTTGCTACTACATATCCAAAAATTAATAAAACATGTATGAGATATCCATCTAAGTTCTGATGTTATATTTTAATGGTGATCTTCTTTGAAAAAACGTAATCCACAATATCCACAAGAATGATTACCAGGTTTATCCTAAATATATAAAAATATATATATATATATATTTAAAGTGCTGTTATAAAAATATTAAATCAATACAGACAAAAAATTTGAACAAGTATTTTATGAGAAAAAAAGTTTGCAAATAATAGAAAGCAAATGTTAAAATGAACTTGCTAAGATATATAATTAGCTTTGTCTCTTTCAAAACTGAATTAAACAAAAACAATTGTCATTATATATTATACTTCAAGGTATACATTTTAATATGAATTTATTAAGTAAGTTTGATATAATAATTAAATAATCGTACCAAATTTATGTATACTTTAGGATGGCCTAATGGTCCACCACCACCATCACAAAAAACAACTCTTTCTTTACATTCTTTAGGGGGTACTTGTTTAATGAGATCAATTGCAAAACACTGATTGACTTGCTTTTCTGTATCTATGAAACGTGCTAACCTATAATCATTCTTTTCCCATTTCTGAAAAATAAAAATAATACTGTATAATAAACGTGTAATAAGTTTAGTACAAAAATTATTTATTTATTTTTTTGAATAAATATAAAGATATTATTTTTAACATTTACAACAATTTTTATAGTGAAAAGAAAATATAAATTTAGGTTAAAACGGTGGTAATAATAAACTTTTAAAAAAGAAAAAACTAAAAAAAGCCAATACATTTTTGCACCATGCCTACAAAATAATATACAAATAACAATATCTACAACTTCACTTGTATTCAATAAAAATTTTAAAAAGTAATTACTTTTTTTGATTCTTAGGAAAAATAAAAAAAAAATATTAAAAAACTCGATTAAAAATTTTTTTTAAAATTAAGGTACATATTTAAACTTATTAAGAAAGCTACTAAAATATGTGTTTCATATAAAACGTTTCATTAAATAAAAACTTGTAATGGCTTGTATATAATAACCAAAATTAAAAAAAAAATATTTTAAATCTTAAGTATAAAATATAAAATTATAAAGATTTATCTCCTATATTGTTTTAAAGGCGATTAAATTGAAGAATAGAAATCTCGGTTAGTGGTTAAAACTTCATGATAAACATTTTACCATTTTAATATAATACTTATATTTCTATAAAAAAGTATTAATTATACTGTCAAAACTCTAGTTATATGAACCTATATGCAAGTTTAACATGTTTAATACTTTCATTAATTACAATGATTTAGTGTCTACTTTTTTGTTTTAACTAACCTGACCAGTGTGGGTTTCAATTTCTTTTGGCTCCCAGGAGTACTTAGCTGAAAGTGTCAAGCTAGGACACATTACTCTAAAAAGAGTATTCGATGATCTTAAACTCAACAAATTTAAAGCCATACCTAAAAATTAAAAAAGTCACAAATTTCTGATAAGCTAATAAAAGTTAAATTTCAGCACAAAATCCGTAATCCTTAATGAAAATTTAGTTTAACATTAGCTATGTTTTTTGAATGATAAGAAAACATATGTTATATTTAGTTTACTGATAATGTTAGTTTTTTCACAGTCAGATATGTGATAATATCACCCATATAACCTGTGATTTATTCTTGTATTAAAATAATAAATTATAATAGTCAATGAGTGTAAATTGATAAGGTTTATACTTGATAATAACGTAAAATAACGATTGATATTGTTTTTTATTGTTAAAATTAGTTTCTTAATTATTAAATAAATAGCAATTTTACAAACTTCTTTTATTACAATTTAAACCATTCTAAGTATATACAACTAATTCTTAAATATGGAATCTAAATTCTCTGGCTTTGCCAAAGAAACTACAGCCCGCCCAGCTTGTAAAAAATGTGGATATTCAGGGCATCTTACTTTTCAATGTCGGAACTTCATCAAAATTGATCCAAATAAAGAAATTGTTCTTGATGTGAGTAGTACAAGCAGTGAATCGGATGAACCATATGTTACACCACTAGTTCAGTTACGAGAAACAGAATTAGCCTTAAAATTAAAGAATGAAAGACTAAAAAAGAAGAAAAAAAAAAAAAGTAAGAAACGAAAACGTAAATCTTCATATAGTGATTCTTCAAGTAATGATTCTGGTGAAAAAACTAAAAGACATAAAAAGAAACACAAGAAAGAAAAAAAATCAAAAGACTAACAAGTATTAAGCACAATTTAATATTTTTCTAATATGCGTTGAATGACTTCATTATACATTATTAAGTTCAAACAATTCTATTTAACTTTTGTATAATAACTTTGAACACATGTATACATTTTATGTTTATTTCTTATAGAGTCAAATCCAATAATAATAATTTAAATTAAATCTTGACAATTATTTTGTAAATAAAAATATAATTGAACCTTACAATTGTTTTTTTTTTTATCAAAAAGGGGAAATGGGATAAATATAAATGAATGGAATAAGTGTATATTCATTTTATCTCTTAGAATATTTTATTTAATATTAGTTTTAGTTTTAGTTATTATTGAGGTGGACATAGTGCCCATGCACTCAGACCTGTTGGTCCATTGTGCGCACCTCATACCGAATTGTCTTGATTCGGTTTACCCACCTAAGTGTTATCACCAAAGTGTTAATACATTACCAACCATAAAGTCACCTCTAAAGATGACCAAAGAGTCCTGTCTTTCTGGCGAAATTAAGTATCTCTCTGGGTTTTAGGTTTTTAATATCCTCTTTTTCAGGAAATGGTTTATTCAAGTAGTTTGATCTTAGTGTGGACAAGGCTTCACATTCGCACATGATGTGAAATTAGTCTTCCTCTTCTACTCTACACTTCCTGCACAATGGTGATTCCGATACCCCCATTGCGTTAAGATGCTTAAGCAGGTGACTATGTCCTGTCAGTAGACCAGTCAGGGTGCTTATTTGATGTCTAGTCATGCTATTACGATCACCCAGCAATAAACGAGGGGTCTTGATAAACATTTTAGATTGTCTAGGTACTACCAAGTACTTCCAGATTTTCCTGTGTTGTTCTCTGCACCAATTCTTGGGTAACGCTTTGAGCGATTGCTCAGTGAGCCCTACCACTGGTTCTGATCCAACATAGGTGTTCTCTGCTCCTTTCCTGGCTAGAAAATCAGCATTCTCATTTCCAGTGACACCGTTGTGTCCCGGAACCCACGCTAGTGTAACTTTGTTGAACCTCGATAGTGATTCTAAAGTTTCCCTGCATTCGAGGACCAGCTTTGAATTCACCTGATCGTTACAGAGTGCTTTCAAAGCCGCTTGACTATCACTTAAGATAGTTATCTTCCTATTTTTGTATACCAGCAGGTTCTGAGCACCTACCAGTAATGCCATCACCTCTGCTTGGAAAACAGAGGGTGTTGTGCCCAATGACATACTGACATTTATTCGTGGCTTTAAGCCCCAAATTCCAGCACCTACCTTTCCTGATTTTTTGGATCCATCTGTATATATCACAAATCCTCCTTTGTCAGTCAGGTGGTTAATATTCCATTCTATACGTGTAGTGATCTCCACTTTGTAGGGAATGTTATTCTTAAGAACCGGTTTGATATAGTCCAAGGGGTATTCTAAAAAGCCCTTGTCTATCTCTTTTAGTATTTTACCATGTTCAGTTGTATCACTCTCCAAAGTCCACATACCTAAGTTGTGGAATCTTAGTGCTGTAGCTTTGGCGTGAGCTTTCACCTCTAGATGCAGAGGAGGCAATCCAATTAGTGCCTCTAATGCGACCGTTGGTGTAGTTCTTAATGCTCCAGTGATGGCAATAGCAGCCATTCTCTGTATGCGACTATTATTTAATATTAAATATAAGTTCAAAATAAAAATGTCTACATTTATCTAAGATTCTTAGTTATTAATATAGTTCGATTAATAGATTTTCTTTAAAATTGTAGCAAAAATTTATTAGAATATGTGAAAATTTTAATACTTATTAAATAACAATTATGCTGTTCAAAATGTGCAATATTTTTCTTTTCTTTACTTATTATTTATACCTTTAGTTTTGAACAGGTAGACTAAGAGAATGAAATAAAATTAAGTTAACTTCTTTACTTTTTAAAACTATTTTAATCTATTAAATGAAGAAATTAAAAATATAATATTTTTCATTTAATTTATTAGGACACTTTAATTAAACAAAAACATTAAACATAAATTTTTATTGACTAATCACATCATTTATATTAAATTGGAAATAAAAAACTTTAAAAAATTATCTATAACACTATTTTAGAGCTAAAAAAATCAATCCGATACATCTAAGACTGCAAACTTATTAGACGCAACATGACCTCCTTGAATATCTGATTCATCACTGCCAGATAGCTCTTCATCATCAGAATCATCTTTATTACTAGTAGTTTTATTAGAAGTTAACTCATCTTTTTGCTCTTCATTGTCAGATTCACTTACATAATGATATTCATAAGTATTAGATTCTTCAGTCATACCTTTGATTTTCCATATATTCTTCAATTGGTCGGATGAATACCAGTAGTCTATATTAAATAAACCATAAATTAACAAAAATTTCAAGACAAGATTTTAAACAATTTATAACGATCATATAATTTATAAATCTTACTTTTATTTGATGTGAAATTTTTAGGTTTTAATACTAAACATATTTTCCCATCTAAAGCCATACGTAGTAGATGGTTGGCCGCACGGTATGTATCAGGGCGTCCAGCTCTAGCTGTTATAAAACCTCGTTTAATTGCCCAACCTTAAACAAAATAAAATATAGAGTATATTATGAATTTTAATTCCAGTAGTTTATTTTAAAACATACTGTCACAAATGTCTATTGCTGACCATTGATTTTCTCCAGGCTCAGGGTGTTGAAGATTCAATATTTTTACTAGATTTAATCTTTCAGCCAAAAATTTTATAGTTGAATAAGGTTCTCGAAGTTGTGCAATAGGATAACAACCCATTAACACCTAAGGGTCATAAACAATACAACTTATTTCATAACTTATCAAGTAAGACAATTTCTTTTCATAATAAAATTAAATATTTAAACATTACTTGTAAAGGTTTTGTAAGTTTAGAAGGAAATACTAATCCAGGACAGTCACATAAACGAACTGTAGAAGTCAAAAATATTGTTTGAAAATGTTTTGTGTGACCAGGAGTTCGCGATACACTCACCACCTATGTTTCAATCAAAAACATTTTATATTTTAATAACAATACTTAAATAATTAGTTATTAATAGTTAAAAACTGACAATCTATGATTAAATGTAATTTAATTTAAAAGCACTAATAATCAAAAAATAAACATCAATTAACTTAAAATCTTCAAATTTAATAGCATATGATTATTTTATTAATAAAGTAAAATTTTTTATGTTTATGGTAGTTTGGAATACAACTTTTTTCTGATTACTACACATCAAACCACATTTTGAAAAAATAAAAATAAGAAAGGATATTATATAGGTGATTAAAGTCTGGTAAGACACTTATTTTCTCAAAAACTATTGAGAATTTTTAATTTTTGAAGAGAAAAAATATCAAATTCAAAAAACTGCAGTAATATGTAGTGAAATTATTTTTTTTCGACCCTTCAGGGATCAAAGTCTTTAGTTATAATTTTCTAAAATGGGAACCATTATTTTTAACTTTATAATATGATAAGGAAAAAAATTACAAATAACTTTATTTTAACAATTCTTTTTGTATCTAATTAACGTTTTACAATTGTTAAAAGATTTGTATGTAAATTAAAAATTCATCATTAGTTTGGTTTTTTAGTTACATATATTTCTAATTTTTCATTAATTAGTTATTTTTTGGAGAGAGAAATATAATATTAAATAAATAGAATAATTACAAATATTTTACACAAAAAAATCACACATATTATGTTATAAAAATCTCATTTTTTGGAAATTGTCAGATGTGTAGTTTTATCATAATAAAATTATAATATAACAACATGTAATTTTGAATAATACTGTAAAATTTAAAATATTTAATTTTTTTAATTTTTAATTATGAACTGAATAATACCATAATTAAAATAGATTTAAAATTTATAATTGTCAGTTTTTATTTTATTTGAACTTGACAAAATATACAAAACCTTTTTACCCATCAATGCATTCAAAACAGAGGACTTCCCAGCATTTGGTTGCCCAAGTAAGCCAATTGTAAGAAATTCATTTTGAAATAAATCTATATGCTCATAATTAGTTTCTGAAGCACTCTAATATGAAAAACAATAATAATGAAAAATATTAAATAAACAATAAATTTTAATAATATTTTACAGTTATAGTTTCTCCAACTTCAACGTCTTCTTCATTATCATATTCAAGTTCTTTTTCTTCAGCTATTTTTTTTTCCCAGCTTTTCAAATCAACTAAAAACAATGAAAGTTGACTTAGTAAATTTTTATACTTTAAAGTAAAATCATATTATTTACTAAACTATTTCTTGAATTACTATTCTAAAAGAAATTTACTTAAATCCAAAATAACAAATTATTATATTTATATAATTATATTGTGATACTCAAACCAACCAAAACCATATACCTTAGATTTTTTTACTGAAGCAACTATTTAGTTACAACCCTTTCACAAATAAGTAAATATTAATTGTAATTGTAATTTAATAAATCATCACAAATTTTCTTATTATTATTATTATTTTTATTTATTTTTTTTTTTTTATAGTAATTATTATTATTCATCACAATGAGGAGAAAAATATTTGTTGAAATCAAAACAACTCTGAAAATAATTCGTGGTTGTGGTAGTTTTAAATAATTGTACCACAATAATAAAGTTATAAAGTTATCGTTTAATCATGAATAATATTAAAACTTAAGATAAAAGAGATAAATTTTATTAGTATAGTTTCAATATATTGAATATGTAATTTATACTACTTACTATTGGCTTGATATTTTTCAACAATGTATTTGCATTCCTTCATTAGCAATTCAGCAGCATCTGCAGCCATTTTCAATTTTCCCCTTGGTTTTTTCTTTTGTATTCCTATATTTTTTTGAATATAACTATAATAAGTTTTATGAGTTAGGATTTTTAATAAAAATATTAACACTAAAACTTCACCTTCTTTAAATTCTGAGCTTTTTATGTATGACGTAAAAAATAAAACATGTACATTAGCATCATGATCATTATCTAAATTATATGTTTCTACTAATTTGTGTTTCCAGGCTAATGCTACTGGTGATGGAACTAGATCGACCTTATTCAATATGATGATTAAACTTTTTTTTAATGTCCTCAACACATATGTAAATAAATAAGGTGGAATGGCCTAAAATTAAAATTATTTATTTAACAGTAACTTTTTGATACCAATGCATTATTTATAAAACAGCAATTTCTTAGATAAACAACCAAATAAATTAAAAAACAAAGAGCATTCAAAACATTATTTTTATAGTTAAAATAATAATAACAGAGTGCTCTAAATAAATGAACTCAAAAAATGGACTTATACTTATTACTACAAGTCTTTTAATTACTTACTGGATATCGTGCATCAGCAATCCATACAAGGATGTCAGACATTTCCATCACACGCCACATTTGCCTCCATGTTTCAAGATTCAACTCAAAATAACTCAATTGATCCCAGTCACTTCTTTGTTTTAATGACAACAAGTAATTTTTGAAATATCTATACTCCCTATTATCTAACTCTTCTCTAGTCATATCAGGACTCCATTTTGGTCTAACTGGAAAACCTAATTCTTCACCATCATAGAATGGTACAGGATCAAATTCTAACTCTTCTTCAGTAACAGGAATAATTTCTTTCCTTGCTTCTTCTTTACGTTTACGTATTTCTTCATCAGTTTCTCGTCTGAACTGCAATACATACCTAATAAAATATAAATAACAAGTTTAATTTATGACATGAAAAAATATAAATAGAATAAGTAAACATATTTTACCAGGAAAAATTTCTTTCTATAGTAATAGTAATAGAAATTGACTTTATAAGGCAATTTCTTCAATAATAAAATTAGTAAAGAGGTAAAGCAAATATTATAGAAATAAAAATTATATTTTCAGCTAAATTAAATTTAAAAAAAAAGATAAATTTAAAGGCTAAAAGAATAGTTACAACATAAAAGTTAAGTAGGATATTTGAAAATAAGAAAAAAAAAATGAATGGGTGAACCTGACTGAGGCAAAATAGTGACTGACTTGAAAAATGGATACTCACAAAAACTATGATTTTATCATTATTGTTACATTTATTTTATTTAATTAAGTATAAAAGGAAGTTTTAATTCTGAATTTTTAATATTTTGAGGTAGCTACCTTTTTACGATTTTCCTTGTAAAAAAATTATATACATCAATAACTAATTTAAAATAAGTGTGAGAAGATAATAGTTGTATATTATATTAATTTAAATTAATTGATCTCTCGTCAGTTTTAATATAAAAAAAACCCAGCACAGGGGGGTCGCGGCACAGTGGTGACGTGGCATAGTTGGATCAAGTATAATGATATCTGACAGTGATTAAAATCACTATAAAAAAAAAACACTTCGATGCAAATCTTTAGAGTGTTTAATTTTAAAAAATTAGTGGATTATTCCAAAAGCTTCATAAACTGCTAGTTCCTTATTAATATCCTGATTAAGATAAAGTATGTCGAATGAAAAAAGGAATATTAAAAAATAGTATTTCCCATAAAAAAATTATATTGATCAATACACTTTTCAATAAGTTATAGCATTATAAAGTTAAAAATGTAAAAAATAAAATTGAGAATTTTCACACAATAATAGCATTTGGTAGCCATTTTCACCGTGAA